AGAAATCTATTATTACTTTCCATTTTTCCAAGAACACGTGCCAGCAGCTGCAAAAATAAACATCAACCCTAGACTGAGAGAAAAGAGTGTCCAACTCATAGCCTGAGGTGTTTTACTTTTTAGCCAACCTGTGCAGTGAACCACATCCCTGTCTGATTGCCACAGATGACCGCTGATACACAAAGACGTCTGTTTGGGGTTAATTAAGTAAAACAGGAATGCAGGGCAGCATGGGAGATTCTGACAGCCTTGATCCAGGTGCCTGACATGGCACTGACATAGATAAACCGTTCATAATAACACCAGGAGCATGCTTTAAGCAAGTAAACAAGGTCCATGTGTTCACAAAATGATTGTTTTCAAACAGGTTTCCCAGACTTTCCCTCGGTATGTCATTGGTTGGCCAAAGAGGACAGCACCAAACACATGATATGTAATAGTAAAAATGTTAGTAAGTTAGTAAATATGCACAAATTAACACACATCATTACGTTTTAGCAGTCTGCTTTTTGTTTTATTCTTAAAAGCACCATAATTTTTTGGCTTTTCAGTGAAAAACAACTGTTCTTTCTGGCTGAAGAGTGAAAACAAAGCAGTTCAGACTGCACATGCTGTTATGCATGTAACAAAAGGTGTGAGTTCAATGAACTGTATATTTTTCCCCTAGACAGTAATGGTGTAAATATTCCGTTTTTTAAGCAGTCAAGACCTTAAGGATTGTTTATAGAAAGTGACTTTAAAAACCTGCCTTGAGAAATATTCACTGGAGTAAATGTTTGACAACTAACTCTTCTTGCTAAAGAATTATGCCACATCTGCCCCCTGCTGGTTTTACATCACTGTCACACCTGTGTCCTGTTCCAGCTGTTTTAAAGTGGTTGAATATGAGGTTTAGGCTTGAGAGCACAAAGAACGAAAGAGAAAAATGTAGTTTGTAGCATGGATAGATGAACTGTAGGAGTGTTTATTGTTTGAATATTCTTGAAGCAATGAACTTAAACTCCTGCCAGGGACACTCTGGGCTCAGAGCCAATGAAGGAAAAGGAGAGGCAGGGAGCTTTAGGGATTTGTTATGTGCTCCTAAACATATGCCCTGATGATTTCCTTCATGTATGTCTTCTTACCTTCACATTCTCAACCTCTTTACCACTGGAAAAATATGCATATAAACATGAACAGAGCTTCATCTGGCCCCAAAAGTCACATTTAAAAAAAAAAAGCCTTTTGCACCCAAATGCTGCAGGATCTTTTCTCTTCATTAACTCTTCTTTGTCATGTTTTCTCTATGTCAGCTGGTGTTTTGGTGATTTTTTGTGGATGAAGTCAGTTCTCCAGGTTCACACACACACACACACCCATATAACTCTATAATATAAAACCAAAAAATAGGATTATTTAAATACATTTTACAAAACTATTTCAATCTTTCTACTTCAAAATTTCACATTTAATTCAATGTGTTGCTTGTCGCTTCTTTGTAAATAATCTTTAAGTGAGCTTTAAGTGACGTGACATGTGGCCAAGTATGGTTACCCATACTAGGAATTAGTATGGGTAACTAGGAATTTAACCCATCCTAAGTGCACACACACAGCAGTGAACCCACACCGTGAACACACACCCGGAGCAGTGGGCAGCCTATATGCTGCGGCGCCCGGGGAGCAGTTGAGGGCTCGGTGTCTTGCTCAAGGGCACCTCAGTCGTGGTATTGAAGGTGGAAGAGAGCACTGTACATTAACTCCCCCCACCTACAATCCCTGCCGGACCTGAGACTCGAACTCGCAACCTGGGTTACGAGTCCGACTCTCTAACCATTACGCCACGACTTCCCCATCGTGAAGTTTAGCAATTTTTTTCACTCTTAAAAATAAAGGTGCTTCACGAAGCCATAGAAGAACCTTTTTGTCTAAATGGTTCCATAAAGAACCTTTAACATCTGAAGAACCTTTCTGTTTCACAAAAGGTTCTTTGTGGTGAAAAAAGGTTCTTCAGATTATAAAAAGGTAAGAAAGAGATGGTTCTTTAAAGAACCTTTGACTGAATGGTTCTTCATGGAACCAAAAATGGTTCTTCTATGGCATCGCTTGAAGAACCTTTTGAAGCACCTTTATTTTTAAGAGTGTAACTAATTGAACATCCTCTCACTGCAGCACTGAATCAACAGCACCCCTTAAAAACAGACTCAACAGAGGTATTCCCTATATTTGTCCCTGATATTACAAATCTACATCTATGCTCATGTGTGCATTTGTGTCAGTGAAAGTGAAGGATTCTTTTATAGGAGGTAGTGTATTGTTTTAGAGATAAAATGCTGGGCTTTGATTCTGTGAGCCATGAACATCATTTCTGCCGCCTTGAACGAGACACTTAACCCCAGGTTGCTTCAGATGGATAGTCCTTGACTATTGCATGCTGTGTTTTATGCAGTATGCTATGTTCAGTTGTTTAGAAATAGCATGTGAATTTCTTCGCATTCTTTTTATTCAGTCTATATATTTTATTTTTAATCCCATTTAGTGTAAAAAATGTCTGATATATATATTGTAGTCTGATAATATGAGTCAAGAGAGAGGCTAAGAGGTCAAGATTGTGATGTAGTATTCACACAGTGTGCTCTGTAGCATTATGCACTTTCCAATACATTTACTCATTTAGCAAGTGCACTTCATTTATGACAAAAATAGCTTCTATTTTGAGCTACTTGCTTTGCAATAGTTGTGATATGAGATATGCACATTCTGTAGTATGCATCTGCCAAATATAAAATGTCAATTGCATGTAAAAAAAAAAAAAAAAGTTCAGAAAATTAATTATGAATTAACAATTGCTTCAGTGTGCTCCTGAAGGAGTTTTATAAATAAGGTTGTTTGGCTCAGCAGTCCACATGTAAGAACATGATTACAAGCCAAAACGACTGCCAAAAAAACCTTTAGAGGAATAAGCCAAATTCAGTCATCTTCTGGAAAGTTTTACAAAGTTGCAAACTTTTGAAATTGTAAACATGCCATGGTGATGTATATGAAATGGGGATTTATCTGGAATAACGTTATATTTTGACAGCACTCAGCTTGAGCCAGTAGGTTTAACGCTCATAAACTACTGGATTGACTCTAAAGTCAACATCCCCTCACCTTTAAGAGAAAACCCATGTGATTTTTTAGTATTTTTTTAAAAACTTAATAGGAGGCTGGACTGAAGGTAAAATGTTCTATTACATGCAAAAAGTGCAAACGAATATACGTGCCATTAGATATTTCAATATATCTTTTTAAGTCTCTTTTGCTTACCAGTTCATTTGATCAAATGAAAGTAAAAACTGTAACACTGAGAAATATTATTAGAATTTAAAACACGTTTTCTATCGGAATATATTTGAAAATATATCTATTCCCGTGATGCGCAGCTGAATTTTCAGCATCATTCCTCCAGTCTTCAGTGTCACATGATCCTTCAGAAATCATTCTGATATGCTGATTTGCTGCTTAACAAACATTTCTTCAATGTTTTGATGCTTAATATTTTTGTAGAAACCGTGATACACGTTTTTCAGGATGAATAAGAACAGCATTTGTTTTTAAAATTGAAATCTTTTGTAACAAATGTCTTTACTGTCACTTTTCAAAGAAGTATTCAAAACTTTTTTTTATTTAAAACTGGCATTTCTGTTATTCCTTACAAAATAAGGTACAGTGGTTTTACCATCACGTACAAAAAAGGTATCAAGAAGTACCATGGTACTAACAGGGTTTTGTACAGTGTTTCACAGTATTACAAAAAGCTACCATGATATATATATATCTATACTGGTACTATATATATATATATATATATATAGTACCATATGATACAATAGTCTTGCTACTGTACATGTACTTAAAGTAGTACAAGTCCATGGCGAATGAGCATGGTGTCATGTCTAAACTATGGTACCATGGTAGTACCACGGTACTTTTTGGTTAGTGCAAGACAAGTACGCCCAATTTACAGCAATGGCATATCCTAGACTGTTTGATGCACAACGTGAATTTCTGTACGACTCAAACACAGCTTCGCATTACACAAAAGAGCTTCAGGAAACCCAATTTTTAGTATTTTTTAAAAACTTAATAGGAGGCTAGACTGAAGGTAAAATGTTCTATTACATGCAAAAAGTGCAAACGAATATACGTGCCATTAGATATTTCAATATATCTTTTTAAGTCTCTTTTGCTTACCAGTTCATTTGATCAAATGAAAGTAAAAACTGTAACACTGAGAAATATTATTAGAATTTAAAACACGTTTTCTATTGGAATATATTTTAAAATATATCTATTCCCGTGATGCGCAGCTGAATTTTCAGCATCATTACTCCAGTCTTCAGTGTCACATGATCCTTCAGAAATCATTCTGATATGCTGATTTGCTGCTTAACAAACATTTCTTCAATGTTTTGATGCTTAATATTTTTGTAGAAACCGTGATACACGTTTTTCAGGATGAATAAGAACAGCATTTGTTTTTAAAATTGAAATCTTTTGTAACAAATGTCTTTACTGTCACTTTTCAAAGAAGTATTCAAAACTTTTTTTTATTTAAAACTGGCATTTCTGTTATTCCTTACAAAATAAGGTACAGTGGTTTTACCATCATGTACAAAAAAGGTATCAAGAAGTACCATGGTACTAACAGGGTTTTGTACAGTGTTTCACAGTATTACAAAAAGCTACCATGATATATATATATATATCTATACTGGTACTATATATATATATATATAGTACCATATGATACAATAGTCTTGCTACTGTACATGTACTTAAAGTAGTACAAGTCCATGGCGAATGAGCATGGTGTCATGTCTAAACTATGGTACCATGGTAGTACCACGGTACTTTTTGGTTAGTGCAAGACAAGTACGCCCAATTTACAGCAATGGCATATCCTAGACTGTTTGATGCACAACGTGAATTTCTGTACGACTCAAACACAGCTTCGCATTACACAAAAGAGCTTCAGGAAACCCAACACATCACAAGGACACATGCAGCTTCACCCACACGCTTTATTATAACCCCTGCTATTCTCACATCCGGGATATGAAACATGAGCAAAGACTTGGAATGCTACATTTTTTCCCCCTCTCGACTCTCACAGGCGCCGTAATGATGGAGTAAAAAGCATCACGATTGGTGGATGCGGCGAGAAGAAACATAAAACCCCACAGCGTAGCTTTTGCACTCCGGACGCGACAAACGCGAATGAATCCAGCGCGTGCTTTCGGTCATCTGTGAAGAACTGAACTAGGAAAAAAAAACCTTGAACTACAGCAAAAACATCCACATCCACACAAGAAGCTAAAAGTACACAATGGTCGCTGGCGATATGTGTCTCTCAGACAAGCTTAGCGCAGCGTCGCTTGCGTGACAGCTCGCTGGCCAATAGGAACATCCAGCGGCTCAGACGCGTCCAATGGCGAACGGCAGAATACGGGCCTAAACGCAAGTTAGGCTGTTGTTGCAGGCGGCCAGCGCTAAACTTCACCAAATAATAGCTGTTTGTATTTTGGGTGCCGCAGTAGCCATTTTAGGTAAGCACATCTTTAAACTTTTTAATTTTAACGCGTCGGGCGCAAAAGCGCATGGAGTATGGTGCGCGGACGCGTCAAACTCTCGCATCCCCTCATGAATGAACTGCTCTTGTGCGTTAGGATGAAAGAAATTGCTCGGAGTTTTCCCCCCCTTCCCCTTCCCCTTCCCCGACTCCCACCCCCTCTAATTTTTTATGCATTTTTCTAAACTGTCATGGCGTTTAGTGTCCTTGGAAATAAATGCGGAGAGAGGAACGCGTAGGTTTTTACGCTAACTGATGTCCGGAGCCGGCGTGTCCAGGTAGGTGAGGTCGCGTTTGACGGTCCCTCCGCGGAGTTTGAGCGGCTCTTCACGCGTGTAACGCCTGAAATATAGAGCACCGTTGCCGTGACATTACAGTTAGCACGCTGGCTAGCGCCCTACAGGGGCTAATGTATATGGGACACGATGTTAGGCTTTTTATAAGAGTGTTTTATGAGGCAAGTTTGGCATCTGTTGAGGCACAAAGCATCCCATGACTGCTATCAAGTACTAGGAACAATGTAACTTCTAGCACTCATGTGGTTTACTTCCACTCCTGGTTTGTGCTATATCCCTGTTGAAATTAACCTGCTATTTATTGATTTTTGTCATTAATAGGAAAGCGTTATTGTAACAAATGTATGCTTTTTCTTTTTTATACAATGAAAATGCCTCACAGTTGCATTGACTCTTGTCTTAACTCCAGGAATGGGTTAGTTAGAATCAGTGGGCCCACCTGGTTTATAGTGAAATTAAAGTGTTCATATGGATTTATAAATCTGCATGTGGATGTATACAACCAATGATGTTGCATTAGTTTGCCTTTCTTTTTTTTTTTACAAGATACAATAATAACACATGGATTCGTGCAATAGGTTAATTAGTATTTGGGGTCCCACCTGGTTTATGGTGTAATTATGTGATTATTATAGATTTATATCACAAATAATGTTGCGTTACTGTGACAACTTAATGCTTTTTTTTAATTCAATGGTAGTGCACCACAGGTAGATTGACATCTGTCTTAGGACAAGGAAGGGGTTAGTTAGTATCAAGGGGCCCATTTGGTTTATAATGTAAACCTTTTGAAATGTATGTGTAAATATGGAGTTATATCACCATAGATGTTGCATTCGTGCCAAAACATTATACTTTTCCTTTTTATACAGTTAAAAAAAATTGTATAAATTGCACGACAAGTAGAATGACTCCTCTCTAACCTCAAGCAATGGGTTAGTTCGTATCAAGGGTCTCACCTAGTTTATGGTGAAAATTATGTGATATGGATTTATGCCACTAATAATGTTGTTTGTGTCAAAACTGTATATTTTTCTTTTTAATATAAGAGCATCACAGGTAGATTGACAGCTGTCTTACCTCAAGCAATGTGATAGTATGATGTAATTCTGTGGTTATTACAGATTTATGTCACTTATAAAGATTTTAATGTTTTTAGTTTTGAACTCAATGACAGTTAGTTAGTATCTAATGGCCTTGGTTTTAGTGAATGTTTCAAACTAGTACAAATGATTTCAATTAAACCCATTAGAAAATTAAAGTTAATAAAATGGGTTGCAAAAGTGGAGAGAAGTTGAAGTGCTCATAATCTGCAGGTCAATCATTTGAACATTACACACTTTTGTTGTTATAGTGAGGTCGCGTTTGACGGTCCCTCCGCGGAGTTTGAGCGGCTCTTCACGCGTGTAACGCCTGAAATATAGAGCACCGTTGCCGTGACATTACAGTTAGCACGCTGGCTAGCGCCCTACAGGGGCTAATGTATATGGGACACGATGTTAGGCTTTTTATAAGAGTGTTTTATGAGGCAAGTTTGGCATCTGTTGAGGCACAAAGCATCCCATGACTGCTATCAAGTACTAGGAACAATGTAACTTCTAGCACTCATGTGTTTACTTCCACTCCTGGTTTGTGCTGTATCCCTGTTGGAATTAACTTGTTATTTTATTGATTTTTGTCACTAATAAGAAAGTATTACTGTAACACATTTGTGCTTTTTCTTTTTTATACAATGAAAATGCCTCAGTGCTATATTGACACCTGTCTTAACTCCAGTAATGGGTTAGTTAGTGTCAAGGGGCCCAGCTGGTTTATAACCTAGCCCTTTTGAAATGAATGTGCTTGTATGTATTTATATATCTAATGATGTTGCATTAGTGCCAACACTTTATGCCTTTCTTTTTTATACAACAATAATGCATAACAGGTAATTTCACATCTGAATTACTTAATGCAATAGGTTAGTTAGTATTTGCGGTCCCACCTGGTTTATGATGCATTTCTGTGATTATTATAGGTTAATATCACAAATAATGTTGCATTACTGTCACAACTTAATGGTTTTATTTTTAATTCAATGACACCACAGGTAGATTGACACCTGTCTTAAGTCAAGGAATGGGTTAGTTAGTATCAAGGGGCCCATTTGGTTTATAAAGTAAACCTTTTGAAATGTATGTGGTCATATATCACCATTGATGTTGCATTCTTGTCAAAATGTTATGCTTTTCTTTTTTTATATAATTAAAATGACTTTTTTTATATAAATTGCATGACAAGTAGAATGACACCTGTCTTGAATAAAGCAATGGGTTAGTTAGTATCAAGGGTCTTACCTAGTTTACAGTGAAAATTATGTGATATTATGGATTTATGCCACTTGTAATTTTTTTCTTTTTAATATAATTACAGTCCATCACAGGTAAATTGACAGCTGTCTTACCTCAAGCAATGGGTTAGTTAATAGTTAGTATAATTGAATTCTGTGGTTATTACAGATTTATGTCACTTATAATGTTGCATTACTGTAAGATTTTAATGTTTTTATTTTTAATTCAATGACAGTGCACCACAGGTAGATTGACACCTTTTTAACTTTAAGTAAAGCAACTTATGGGTATGTAGGAATGGGTTAGTTAGTGTCTAATGGCCTTGGTTTTAGTGAATGTTTCAAACTATTACAAATTATTTCAATTAAACCCATTAGAAAATTGAAGTCAATTAAATAGGTTGCAAAAGTAGAGAAAAGTTTAAGTGCTCATAATCTGTTATTAATTCTTGGTGACGGGTGGAGATTGTTTAAAGCTGGTTATTTTAAAGCTAAATTATTAATTATAGTTTTACCCCAAAGCAATATAAAATGACCTTGAACAATTATGTATAGCTATAGTGTTGAATATATATGTTTTATATTATTTATTGATCTGACATTACTTAAATAATATTGTCTGCAGCAGTCTTCGTCATAATATGCACTTATTCATAATATGAAAAAAAGTCATATTATTCATTTTAGTCTTATTATAGTCATTTTTCCTACTATTTATTAATTTGTGTTTATTTATTTAATGGTCAAGAATGCAATAATGAGATATTAGTTTTGTTGTGTATTCTGAATTGACCACATTCTAAATGCTTTTATTTTTAAAATAATTTTTAAAAAGGTTTTTTTTTTTTTTTACGCTTTGCATAATTTCTATATTCATGATTCCTCGTATCTCTGTATTCCAGACGCAGACACAAAGATCAAGACAAAATGAAAATACAAAAGAAGGACAAGCAGGTCGGTGTATCACATGTGTTTCTGTCAGACACTCCCTCTCTGTTTCTCTCACACCGTCTCTCACACTTTCATCGTCATTGCAAAATTAGCATAAGTTTTAGTCCTTGCACTATAGCTGTACTTCAGAAAGATTCTTAACCTTATTTAGCCTACATTTTGTCTTTAATATTTAAAGTGTTGTTTGCAGTAGTTTTTTTTCTAAGCTTCTTAGGTAGTTAAACTTACCCTGATGCTAACTTTCCGTAAGTGCAATACTTGGGTTTGAGATTAGGATTCAAGTTGCATGCAAAATATTCAGAAAGCTTCTGAAATTTGTTTGATAACATTGCTTTTATTTTCTCCCAAAAGATCGTTTTGGTTGTTTTTTCACAGTCCAGGAGATTTAATTGAGTTCTCAGCTATGTTGCATTGCAATATCAACTTTGTGTCTCCTGCAAGTTCTAGTAAAAATAGAAACAAATAAGAAAATTGTTGTCATATAGTAAGTATATAGAGCTATAAAAGTAACGTGGATAGCATAGCTAAGATTATCTGCTCTGAAGAAATTGAAGAGAAATGTTGAGTTCATAATGAAGTTTTAAAATTTTGATTGGTAAATATGAACAGAATTGTGTTGTTAATCTCTTCTGAAACTCTAGAGGAGACACATGTGGGATTACAGTAGTATGTTTTTTCAATAGAAGACATTTGTTTGCACTCCTTTGAGTTTCTTACATATGAGAAACAATCGATATATTAAAACGTTTTTGTGGGTTTTTCAGTCCTTTTTCATATTTTGACCAGGGCCAAGACAATGTCCTAGTGTCCTTTTGTTTACCTTTTTCTTAGGTAATGCATATTTTTACTCTTTAATTCAATGTTTTATTTTATTTTTTTCAAAATTTTAATCGGAAATTACTTTTGATGACTTTTGACTTGAATAATTCAAGCAAAAGTCATGAAAGGCCTTGCACTGGCGTGATTTTAGTGATTGTAGCATGGGTAAGGTCTGTTGTTCACACAGTTCTGTTGGCTGCAGCATGTTTATAGTTTCCATGCAGCTTGCAGTGTTATATAGAATGCGCACCTGCGCGCATATCTGCGTTTTATATGCCTTTGAATGTTGCTCATCCAATCAGAATTTGTTGTTGTAACTGTCTATTTTATAAACTTAGATACTCATACTTTTGACTTGATTTGATGATTCAAGGCAGATCATTTCTTCACAGCCTAAGCTAATAAATAGCTGTGATTTTTTTAAGAAAGCATCAAATGGAAGATATCATTGAAAACATTGGAGGTAGATTCAGAACCACCTCCTTCATTTCAAGAAGAATTGAGAGTTTTTATTATGACGGTCATCAACCAGGAAGCTGAACATCTGTTTTGAGTATCTGTTTGAATAAACTGGCCACAGCACCTCAGTTACTCCTTCTCTGAGTCAGATGCTCTCTAGAAGAGTAGGTACTGCCGGCGCAGTCTGGCTGGTGCAATGATTGCTGTCCTACAGGTAAATGCTAAAATGTTGAGTATAATATCTGTTGGCATGTGGTACGAATGTGCTGTCTGCAGTACCTACACGGTATGACTTAAACCCAGTGTAAACTCTGCACACAAAGTTGCAAGAAGTTTAATTTGATCATTTTGGCAATACAGTGACATTGGCATGTAGTCGACATTACTGCTTCATGTCCAATTAATGTGCACCATCTGTGCCTCTTATATTACAGCTTCAGCATATACCTCTGCAATTAATTATTGGCTCAGTGTACATTTGGTATCAACTCTCGTTTTGGGTGATCTAGTCAAGTGGTCACTCAAGACCTGGTATTAACATGCATCTCAAAAATATATCCACTGACCAGCTGGATTCATTGCAGGATAGTATGATTTTTTTAATCACTTTTTACTTCAGTGCTCTAATGCATAAGGATGTCAAACTGTCATACTGAAAACTTATTTTCACAAGCGTTTCCACTTTTTATTGATTACCATTTAAAAAAAAAAAAAAAAAAAAATTTTTTTTATGCGTTGTAGACACTCTTCTTTTTATATTTGTATTTGTGACCCTGGACCACAAAACCAGTCATAAGGGTACATTTTTTGAAATTGAGAAAATTTCATCATCTCTGAATAAATAAGCTTTCCATTGATGTATGGTTTGTTATGATAGGACAATATTTGGCTGAGATACAACTATTTGAAAATCTGGAATCTGAGGGTGCAAAAAAATCTAAATATTGAGAAAATCGCCTTTAAAGTTGTCCAAATGAAGTTCTTAGCAATACCAGCTGGATTCATTGCAGGATAGTATGATTTTTTAAATCACTTTTTACTTCAGTGCTCTAATGCATAAGGATGTCAAACTGTCATACTGAAAACTTATTTTCACAAGCGTTTCCACTTTTTATTGATTACCATTTAAAAAAAAAAAATAATAATATTTTTTTTTATGCGTTGTAGACACTCTTCTTTTTATATCTGTATTTGTGACCCTGGACCACAAAACCAGTCATAAGGGTACATTTTTTGAAATTGAGAAAATTTCATCATCTCTGAATAAATAAGCTTTCCATTGATGTATGGTTTGTTATGATAGGACAATATTTGGCTGAGATACAACTATTTGAAAATCTGGAATCTGAGGGTGCAAAAAAATCTAAATATTGAGAAAATCGCCTTTAAAGTTGTCCAAATGAAGTTCTTAGCAATGCATATTACTAATCAAAAATTAAGTTTTGATATATTTACAGTAGGAAATTTACAAAATATCTTCATGGAACATGATCTTTACTTAATGTCCTAATGATTTTTGGCATAAAAGAAAAATCGATAATTTTGGCCCATACAATGTATTTTTGGTTATTGCTACAAATATACCCCAGCGACTTAAGACTGCTTTTGTGCTCCAGGGTCACATTTAGCAATTTATACTTTTAACATCTCAGAGGAGGATCACATGTTAACATTGTTTTTAATTTATAAAAACAATAAACTTAACAGCTTTGCAAAACAATTCCAACTCAGATTCTTAGAAAACGGCTAAAACACTCAGGAAGACTGAGGTACACTTAGCTAAGCTAGATCTTATGGAATAAACTGAATTATAAACTCATATCTAATGCTTTCTGGCAACTCCTAAACATTTAATGTTGTTCACAGTTTTTCTGTAGGATTTTTGGATATGTATGAATATTTTACAGATGAACGTTAAATAATCCATGTATGTTTGTACAGAAATGACTCGAATCCTCTTAATATTGGCATTTACACTTGAATCTAAGTGTTGTTCTGTGTCCTGCAAATTGGCAGTAAAAATTATTGAATGCAACATTAAGATATAGTTACATTAGCAAAAATGATATTTCTATATCTGTCAAATAGTGTTTTTTCTTAAGATCTGAGAAAGTTACATAAAACATGATGTATAATTCTCAGGTCTTAAAGACAAGCTATCATACTTTTACTGTTTAAAATAATTTTTACGGATTTAATTAAACACACATAAAGTATGTTAAACAGAGCTAAGTAAGTGCAGAGCACATGTCTGATTAGTACTCAAAAAATTCAGTTACTTGACCTCCATACACACCTCATACTTCTAGATGAGGATGTAGAGATGATGATAATGTTTAACTTTGTTAAATGTTTTGCTTTGTTAATGTCTGATTAGGAATCAATGAAATTCCCTAGCAATTTTCTATCAAATCCAACAGAAGTACTTGTAAAGAAGGTGTGAGGTGTAGCATTGTGTAGAAAGAGATTCACTGTGCAGTTTGCATGATATGCTTTTGTACATCTCGATGCAATTTCTTTTCCAGCTTGTTTTGATTTTCAGGCTGGCAACACCCACCTAATCATGCTAATTGTCTAGCAATCATTGGCTGTGCTTCGAAACGTCAGGGGAAAATGAGGTCAAAGTTGAACATTACCGCAGTATGCTTCAGTCTGTAGAGTTCAATGCATTGGAGCATGAAATCGGTATTTAAATATGCCTTAATGTGAATTTGTCTGTGTGGTAAATTTTAGTTAGTTAAGAATTAAGTTCCCTTAATGAAAATGTACTGGTGCACCAAAATAATCCACAATACAGTATTTTAAACATTTTTATGAATTCCCTTTTATCATGCATCAGGCATATCTATGTATTCCTGTGTGCCTGTCTTTTTCCACACTTTTGAGACCATAGTAATTAGTACAAAGGATCAGTTGTGACATTTATGAGTTGTGAATAAATCCCAGCCAGCGTTGTGATCATGCACCAGTTAGACTGAACATAAATCAATGTCAGCATCACTCAAACTCCTTCTGTCTCTCGTGCTTCCTCCTCGATCACTATTGCTGTACAGTAAATAAATGTTAATGTTAAACGTGGTGTGTTGTAGTAAGTCTTCCCTGGTTTCAAGAAATGTACAGCATTTCTCACCTTTGTGCAAAACCACTCGAGGACACTTCTGTGAATCTGTCGGATTGTCAGCCGGATCAGGGAGGCTTTTGGTCTGCTGTCAGGCGCAGCGGATCTAGACTCTGCACTGGGATTTCTTGAAGTGAAGAATGGTTGTGTGTCAGTAGTCAGTGCAGCAGTGGAGCAGTAAACATGGATGGGATAAACCTTTTTCTTACATTGGGATTCATGTGTTTGTTGCTTCAACAGTATGACCACCTTTTTGTAGTCCGCATTTGAGAGAGAAGCACGTTGGAGACACCAGCAGATTATTGATTACTTAAAAAGAATGAGACATTAAAAGTTAAGAAAGGCCAAAGAAGTGCTTTCACACTCAGACGCTCTTCTGGTTGTTTCGTGTCACTGTCATTCAAATGATCTGATCTGCATTTGGATTTGAATTTTGGTGGTGTCAAAATCAAGCTAGGCCAATTTAGTTATTCATTCCTGCGCAACGAGACCAGTGATTCAAAGAGCACTTCCTAAGCACCCTGAGAGCTTCATTGTCAGGCCTTTCTGAAGAACCAGCAGGGATTCACACCAGCTTAAACTGTTATTTGATTTTGAACAATTTGAGATCACTGCAGGTTGATAAAGTGATTAACAAGTCAAAAGAGGCTTGCCTATATATGAATTTATTTATAAAACTAAGTAAAACTATTTTATTAATGGATGTGCACTACCATTCAAAGTTTGGAGTCAGTAAGATTTGTTTTTGAAGAAAGAATTATATCATGGTTTCCCTGAAAATATCAAGCACAGCTGTTTTAATTAACATTAATAATAATAATAATAAATGTTTCTTGAGCAGCAAATCAGCATATTAGAATGATTTCTGAAAGATCATGTGACACTGAAGACTGGAGTAATGATGCTGAAAATTCAGCATTGTATCACAGGAATAAATTACATTTTAACATATATTAAAATAGAAAATGCTTATTTTCAATTGTAATAATATTTCATAGTTTTTAATATATTTTTGATCAAGTAAATACAGCCTTGATGAGCATATGAGACTTCTTTCAAAAACAAAATCTTACAAACCCCAAACTTTTGAACGGTAGTGTAAAAAAGTAAATGCATTTATAATGGATGAGTTGGAGCGGATAGTTAAAGAAAAGCAGTTAAGTGTCCATCATACATGTGAACTTTTTTTTCCTTTTTATTTTGTTTAAAAGCATCCCAGGTTGCACCTCATGAAGATGCTATTAATTGCTAATGTATAATAGAGATGGATCACAAAAAAGCTCTTGACTGTATCTTGTTGATGTTACCACTTTAAAAAAAACTCAATGCTTTCACTGTTTCTTATTTCCCTCCCCGTTCTAACCAGTACTCCTAAATAACATTTGAAACTTTGTATTTTTATCACTTCTCATGTTATTGCCTCCTTATCATGAATCACTTTGTTGTATTCATTGGACCAAAATGATTACTAAAATAATAAATGTAAATGCAGTGGTCTACTGTAGTCATCCAACAAATGACTAGTCAACTAATAGGACTTTTTTTCACCCTCATTTTTCCCTTTTTTTGTACGTTAGTGTGCCGTTATTTAGTATTTTATAGTGTGCTGTTAGTTTGCACTGTAAAACTCTTGTCTTTTTAAAGACACATACAGATGGACATCCATGGAGATTGTGTTGCGTCGTTTGTTTGCTGTTTTTCTGAGCATCCTGCCATGAGCACCACAAGTTGTAGATGACTTGTCAGGTTAAAAATAGTCCAACTTTTCTTGAGACCTCTGCCTTTTGTTCTTCTCTGTATAGGTGTTTTGAACACAAGAACACATCTTTTTGTTTTCATTGAATAGACGGTGTCCTTCTCATCTGCCTTTGACCATCCAAGTATGCAATTCATTTTCAGTTTTTTGTCTGAAACCATGAGCAAAACGATATGGACTTTGTTTAGGGAGGTTTACAGTAGCACAGAGCAGTTAAAAGACCAAAACAATGAATTCTTTCATTATTATGCTTTTCGTTATTGCGGTTAGCGTGACCGCTGTCGTGCATTTGATGGAGAGGAGGATGCATGTTAGCAGGAGCGATGTGTGTGCGTGTTTTTTAAAACACGTTTGAGCAAGGTGTGTTCGGATTTGGAGCTGGCATTGACTGAACTGCAGCTGTCGCGTTTGGGAGTTGGGAGTTGGTATTGATTCATAGGGAATTTGATTGCAACCCGTGTATATGTGTGCGCTTGTGGTTGGCAGATTTGCCTGGCAAGCATGCATACTGCAGCACGGCACGGGAATAGTCTGCAGTGTTTGCGCTCGCTTATGTGTATGCACGCTTCCATACACTTAAACGCATGGGTTTGCTTGCAGATGCACGTGATGCATAGAGAGAGCATTCGGGGAAAAAAAGGTCAACGTAAGGGCAAAAGTGAATAGGGCAGTTGCAGGAAGTTGTCATTTACTCTTCCCGTTTCTGTACAGTGAAGTTAATTACAAAAAGTAGTGTTTTTACCCATGCAGATATCACTAATATTACCTTCAAGAACAATGAGGTTGATGCTTTTTAGACCCCAGAAAGGAAAGGGTTACCACGGAGACTGTGTTTACGTTCCCGCTTCCCACAGCTTGGTCCCGAGCCTGTTACCATGACGACGGCCCTGATTCCAGCCCGCTTGCTTTGGAAAGCATGTGATTCATTGACATTATCCCCATACCTGCCTGCAGTCGCATGCTCTGTTGGGGAGCATGTGTGTGTGTGTGTGTGTGTGTGTGTGTGTCTGTCTGCACATGCGCACGCTGTTCCACATGTGCACTGCAACGCTAGGTGCAGTTAAAAATAAATGTGCTTTGCGGAATAAGAGGTATAAAGCTGATGGGTACCAGAAACGCAAAGCTCACATACGGCACTGAATTCAGTTTACTTCATTCATCTGTTTTCCTTTAGAAGGAGGAGAACATTTTTATTTAATCTGCTCTTTAATGTCTCATTGCTTGGTCGTCTTAAGGTTTCACTATGCTGAAGAGATTTTTCCATGTCTTTATGTATTTATGAATGGGCACACATAAATAAGGTAGCAGATGAAGTGAGCGTGAACAAGGATTGAATTCATAATAAAGCTCATTCACTTTGTGCCATAACATTGCCTGTATGCTGTATTACATGCATTGCCCTGCTTAGGGCATTTAAAAACTTGAGTGCTTTTTAAAAGAGCTGTAAATGGATTACAAAGTTAACTGAGTGAAAAAGAACCCAGTTAATTTTGCATTCACACTGTCCTTGGCCTTGAAAGTGGACTCAGATCTTGCTTCCTTTTCTTAAAGTCCATTTTAAGCTTTGTCCTTAATAAATAAATAATATATAGTGTGTGTGTATATTTGTTAATATATATATATATATATATATATATATATATATATATATATATATATATATATATATATATATATATATAT